CAATTTTCTCGTATCCCCTTATGGCATCGGGATACTTTTTACAAACGTGGCCCATTTAGGATAAATATCATCTGATAGATAATAGCCCTTGTTGTATTCAGTACGACTGATTGTATAATGAACCTCGGGAGCTCGTCCTTGCAGAACATCGTTGAAGACATTGGATTGGTTCAGCACATTAATATCGTTGTTTGAACCCGCTACCCCAAAGAATGCATGCCAAATCCATAAGTCTTGTGAAGCCACTGCTTCAAGCATAACAGTTGGTTTCCCATGATCGCCTCGAACATATTGTCCTTTCAATGGAATAGGACAATTTTTCCATTCCCAATGCATGCAGTCAATGCTCCCTAAGATACTTGGAAATCCTCGTGCCTCTCCCATTTGCATTAAGCGTTCAATGTCTTCGATGTTTGGCCTTCACAAATATTGTGCACCAAAGATGTTGACCACTCCTTATGTAAACTTATCAACACATTTTAGTGTCGTGGTTTCACCAATTCTCAAATAGTCATCCACGCTATCAACAGATGTTCCATATGCCAATAGTGCATTTTTGTAATGGTGAAAGACTTGCCCTACCTGTTGCATCAACCATCATTCGAAAATACTCATCATGTTGACCTAGAGCTTCAACAATACGAAGGAACACATGTTTATGCATTCGGTACCTTCTATGAAACTGCTCATTTGTGTATATCAGAGTTTCTGAAAAATAATCTTTAAACAATCGTTCATGTCCCTCTTCACGATTCCTCTCTATATTCCTTCTTTGACGCCTAGGTCTTCTAGAGCTCGAGGCTTCTTCTTCCATAAACAACCTCACAAGTTCTTCATCCATGTCATCATTCATATAATCCATAAACATTTTTGCAATGTGGGAAGGATTGAAAGGATCCATGTGAAAAGAAGTTTGATATTTAGTAGAAGATGATAACAAATTGTAAAAAATGCAAGATGTTAATACTATTTAGGCTTAATTGCAACTTTGGTCCCCCTATTTTGTGTTTTTTTTAGTTTTGATCCCCCCATTTTAAAAACCACGATTTTAGTCCCTTTTTTAGATTTCAAGATTGATATTAGTCTCCTTGTCATTTTAAGTCATGTTTTTAATGAGGTGGCGCGTTGAATGCTTATGTGGCATTTTCATGTCAGTTAAAATAATTTTTTAATTTTAATATAATTTTCATGTCATTAACTTAAATATTATTTCATTTTCAAAAAATTAATAAAATAAAACTTAAATAAAAAACCCCATTAATTGTATTATTATTTCATTTTCATCTTCGACCCATTTTAACGAACGAACAACGATGAAGCTTGGAGTTCCCCCTTCACGAACGAACGAAACGGTGTTCCCCCTTTCACGAGAGAACGAAGCTTGGTCCCTTTTCACAAACGAATCTTCCCATTTCTTCAAACCCAGTTCTATATCAAACCGCAGCTCGCTTTGCATCGTCTCTCAAGTGGTAAATATATTCAGAAAAGCTGTGATTCAGGGTTGGTAGTGAAAGTCAAGAATCTCACTTGGTTCTCAGTTTCTGCGTGAAGTCTAGATTTTTCATGGATAAATTGATATGGTGAGGCTCCAAATTTCCAGATTTGGTCAATTTGATTTGTATAGTGTTCCAACTCTTTGGTGCATGTTTCTATAAGATTCTGAAGTTTAAAAATCGTGTTTGACTGAAGGAGTTCTACGGGAGCTTCGGTAAATTGAGTTGTGGGATGGAGAACTTGATCTCTTGTGTGCCTTCCTTCTATACTTGCTGGTCCAAAAATAAGAAGAGACAGTAGAGATTTATCTCCAATAACCTTGCTCAGGCATTGCCCTTAAACTTGCTTTTTTGTGTGACCATAAATTCCTTCTATATCTTCCTATCACTCCAAACAGTTGTGGCCTGGAAAACATTCTCGTATGTTTGTTCTTCTCTTCGCATCAATTTTGATTTGCAGAACTTGCTCTTTTGTTTTCTTGTTCTCAAACAGTGATGAAGTCAAGCACTTGTAGATACATATACTTTAGAGCAAATGGTTGGAACATCATACAAGTCAAATCAGCTTTCCCTAAAAGTCTTGATTCTCACATCACATATCTATCTCATGATATACCAGATTCATGATTTACTAGGAGACAAAAAGTAAAAAACAGTTACATGGAGAAGCAGATTGACAGGAGGATGATCTATCAAAACTTTGAAGTGTATATAACATTTATAACATAGCAAGGCCAAACAAATACAACTTAACAGACTGATAGAGACCTAAATTTTGTTATCATTATTTGTCGAATCTTAAGGTTAATGGTGTTTCAATTGTCATATCTACCATTTTCGCTCCGTCATAGAAGCCATGTTACCAATGCTGTGCTGCAATCACTAGCATAAAGTTTTGGCTTGTGTATCTCAGTTTTTATGAAGGTTCCAAAGTTGCATATTCAACTACACACACTAAGTGTGATTTGAGCTGCTACAGTGTGAAATATGATAAAGTGTAGCATAGGTTGCACGTTGCCCAAAAAGTTTAATCCCAAATAAAGTATTGTATTGCAGTTACCTCCTGAAATATGTGTTAGTGTTGTGGTAGTAAAGTATAGGAGATACTTTACACCCAAAAGCTCAAAAAATATATGGAAAACTTGATGAATTGGCTTTAAAAATAAAGAATGTAGGCTATGTTCCAAACACAGATTTTGTTCATCATGATGTGGAGGATGAACAAAAGGAACAATATCTATTTCAACACAGTGAAAAACTTGCAGTTGCGTTTGCACTTATTAGTACACCAAATTCAAAACCTATAAGGGTATTTAAGAACCTTCGTGTTTGTGGTGACTGTCATTCGGCGATAAAGTATATATCAACTATCACTGGAAGAGAGATTGTTCTGAGAGATTCAAACCGGTTTCATCACATCAAGGATGACAAATGCTCTTGCAATGATTATTGATGTTATAAGTTTTCTATGTAATAAAATATGTTAGATTTCATTTTCCTGATTGAATCGTATAATAGGGCGGTGAGACTTTTCATTTGATGTAGAGGCGGACATGCAACTTATTTCTCATATGAGTACTATGCTTTGTTGATAATTTTGATGTAATGTTTGTAGAACATATTGTCTCTGTATCATTCATATAGTTGGTCTCATGCTGCAGATAAACCAAGAATTTGTATCAAGATGACAACAGGTAATATAAATTTTATCAAATTTGTACATGTATTGATGATATATTGTTATTTGTACTTTGTACTTAATTTAAGATGAAGTTTCCTTTGCAATAGTACAATATTGTGAAAAATGGTAACATATAACTGAGTTGACATGTTGAAATAGTCTACCTAATTAATGGCTGAATTTGTAAGATAGCAGGGTTACATATCATGTTAGAAAGTAGAAACATGGTCTGAATTTGGATATTTGTTTGATGTTTATTTATTTATTTATGATTCCTCTATTTTGCTTACCAGATAACTAGTAGGTTACCTTTTCCCTAACTATGTAAAGCAATAATTAAAACTAATGATAAAACTTTTGTCTGCAATAAGAAAATTACCTGCAACAAGAAAATTCTTAGAGATTTAGTTAATTTTCAATTTTTGTACTAATAATGACGATATTACCTGTAAGTTTGTGTGGCTAGATACTACATCAATTGAACAGTTTAACATATTTCTGATTTAGTTGTCCAAATTTCAATTAAAATAACATTAGAAAATACATTGTAACCACTCTAATTTATCTCTGAATTTATATTATAGAAGAGAAGAAATTACCATAGGATACATCAGAGAAGATGTCCTTCATTTGGTTTGAGACGGAGCATTGAATGTCATTGTTGAGCAAATTGTCTGTATTGCTGCCTCTATATTAAGAGTTTCTATTTGGAATGAGAAATCTATTTGCTTTTCTGTAAACAATGTCTGAAGCTGCACTAGAATAATTCACATCACTACTAGGCTTAAGATAAAGTTTTGGTAGCAGTGGATTTCTTGCTGCCATGTGGATGCTTGTATCCAAAATCCTGTTAGTAGTAGCTATATCAGTTGCGTGCTTCTTGAGCAGTAATTCCAACCTATGATTGTTCAATCTATTGTTCACATAATGTTGTGTCTGAGTATATCAGTCTGCAATGGACACAAGTTTGAGAAGAAGGAGAAGTTGATGAAATGAAAAGGGAGGTAATGTTGTAGTATAAAATGTCTTTTACAAGTCTCACATTGATTTTTGTATAAGACATAAAAGTGTTTATAAATTTGAAACAAATACAACAATTCAATTGTGGGTTAGAAAGATGGACCAAAGACATGGATCAATAATATACAACAATTCAATTGTGGGTTAGAAAGATGGACCAAAGACATTGATCAATAATTAAAGGCCCAAAGAGTTTCATTTAAAATTTTAATTAATTAATAATAAAATGTTAATCATTAATTAATTAATTAAAATAATATTAATAAGTTAATTATCCTAGTCAATAAAAAAACTCTTAAGTTATTTTTTTTAAAATGACATGGCATTGACACGTCATCTTAGATAGTGTCACATTATTAAAAAAAATTTAAAAATTGGAGAAGGGACTAAAATCAAACTTAAAACTTAAAAAAGGACCGAAATCGTGGTTTTTAAAATAGAGGGACCAAAATCCAAAAAAATACAAAATAGGGGGATCATAGTTGCAATTAAGCCTACTATTTATAAGACTACTTTGAATAACGACTAGTTTGAATAACGACTAGTTAGACTTTGAATAACGGCTAGTTAGACTTTGAATAACGGCTAATTTGACTTTGAATAACGACTAGTTTGAATAACGGCTAATTTGATTTTGAATACGTAATCATACTAATTAAGTCCATATTAATTAATTCCAAAATACATAATCATACTAATTAAGTCCAAAATACATAATCTTACTAATTAAGCCCAAAATACATAATCTTACTAATTAAGCCCAAAATACATAATCTTACTAATTAAGCCCAAAATACATAATCATACTAATTAAGTCCATATTTTTCTCTAATCATGTCGCACAACATATCATGAGCTTGTAGTTGTCTTCTATCCATATTTGATGTATCTTTTGAGAGTATTTGCAGATCATTCATCTTCATTCTCTCCTCAGCACTCTCAGCCTTCTTAATCTTTGCATCAACTTCTTTTCTCTCTATCTCAACTTTTTCACCCTCAATGTGTGCATAGTCCCGTGCAAACACTGACATCAGATCAATTTTTTTTTTAAAGTCATCTTTCAAAGAATCATATTTGACATTGGGAGTAGGAAACATTTCCATAAGCTTTTCTTTCTCCTTCCTTTTGGCTGCCTTTTGACCGATTGAACATCGAGACAAAGTAGGTGGTGATGGATCGTGTTCGCTGCTCATTTGTGGATTAGAAGATGAAGAATATGCTCCTGAAGCTGAATTCTTTATTCTTTTTATAGAAGCTTCTGATGAACCTACGAGTCATTTAGGTTCATCTTTCAATAATCTCCATGCAACTTCAAAAGTAAACTTTTCACCTTCATCTTGGAAATAGATTTTATATGCAGCTTGCATGATATTGCTCTCGGAACTTCCACTTTGTTGTGTAGACACAACTTGTTTGTAGCATCCAACAAACTTTTGAACAGATGGATTGATTTTATGCCATTGACATTTTAGTTGCGTCGATTTCCTCTCTTTGTAGTTGATGTCACGATGCTTGTTGTAAGCTTCACTGATCCGCTTCCAAAAACTATCTCCTTTTTTATCAACCCCAACAATTGAATCTTTTGAAACGTTGAGTCATGATTGAATAAGAATTTCATCCTGTTTTTGTTGGAACCTTTGTTTATGCGTATTCACAACACGTACGGATGCAACTTCTTCACCAAGGTTAACTGTTTCTAAGCTACCTTGAGTGCAAAATTGTGGTGTTTCATCTTCTTGATCATTTGATTGCGCACCACTACTACCTATTTGAGCACTGTGAGGCATAGTGGGGTTAATTGATTAAGATGTAAATTGTTGATATTGATATGGATAAGGTGGTGGATGATATGAGTAATTTCCAAAGTGTGGATTATTTTGTAGATTTAGGATAAAAGGTGAGTTTTAAAATTTTGGATTATGGTGTGGATTTGAGATAAAAGGTGTATTTCTAAAATATGGATTACATTGTTGATTTGGAATGGAAGGAGGACTACCACCATTTTGTATAAAATTAGATCAAGGGTTATGTTGATTGGGATCCATTGACAAATAAATGTGTAGAAGAAAAAAATTTAAGATAAGATAAAATTAATAGTTCAAAGTTAGACTAGTTGTAAATGCCACTACAAGAAAATGTTGTTTTTCCCTAGTGATTTAGTGACGTGGTAATCACGTGGAAAAAAAATGTGTTGCCAAGTGATTCCCACGTCACTAAATTATTTAATTAATAAATTTTGTAACTCTGAAATGTTCAACGAAATTTTAGAATTTTTAGGGGGAGGGAAGTTTGAATTTTTCACAAATTCAGTTGTGACGTGTAAATCACAAGGGAACTGTAAATTCAAAAAAGTTATTTTTTTCCCACGTGATAAGCATGTCACAAATTACCCACATGCTTTTCACGTCGCAAAAATAATTTCCATTAATTTGTCAGACACATGAATGAACCTTTGCTTTGGCATTTAGTGGGGCAACGAATATAATTTAATATAAGGCCGACCCTATTGCCACGTCGCAAATTCTTGGAATGTTCTGACCCCCAATTCACGTCGCAAATGGTTGGAGTTGATGTTTGTTCCGACGTGGCGTTCACGTGGGTACCTTCCCACGTGTTCCCCACGTCGCAAGTTTCATTATATATCCTAGAATTTTCACCCATCTCGTTTCACTTCATTTCTTCAGTTTTTCTTCTTTCTTCCTCCCTCACATTTCCAGACCTTCATATTATTCTGCTTCGCACCTCCAACGAAAATTTTACAAATTTAAGGTGAATTACAAATTTAAGGTGAAGATGATGTATGTTGTTGTGACTGTTTTAGGTTTCCATTTATTTTATGTTTTTCTTTTTATTAACTGTTAATTTTTTTCCAGATCTAATATTGATTAAAGAGTTCCATTGGAAGCTTTTGAGAGGTATTTTTGCATTACAATTTGTTTATATATTTGATATATGAAATATTATTTTAGAATATTGATTAGGAAATTTTAAATTTTTTTTGGTTAGATGTAAGTATATATATATATATATATATATATATATATATATATATATATATATATATATATATATATATATATATATATATATATATATATATATATATATATATATATATATATATATATATATATATATATATATATATATATATATATATATATATATATATATATATATATATATATATATATATATATATATATATATATATATATATATATATATATATATATATATATATATATATATATATATATATATATATATATATATATATATATATATATATATATATATATATATATATATATATATATATATATATATATATATATATATATATATATATATATATATATATATATATATATATATATATATATATATATATATATATATATATATATATATATATATATATATATATATATATATATATATATATATATATATATATATATATATATATATATATATATATATATATATATATATATATATATATATATATATATATATATATATATATATATATATATATATATATATATACTGTGTTGTTGTTGTTGAAAGAAAAAATAAAAATAATATATTATGTATTTTTAATTAAAAAAATAGAATATTTTTTATGTTAGAAACAAATAATATGTTATTAGAAACAAAATAAAAAAATAGAATATTTGTTAGAAAAACAGAACAAAAATAATATGTTATTAGAAACAAATTAGAAAAATAGAATATTTATAAAAAACAAAAATAATATATTAGAAACAAATTAAATATGTTATGTATTTTTAATTTTTAAAAACATAATACTTATTATGTTAGAAAAAATAGAATTTTAAAAAATATTTTTAGTAAACAATATTGTAAATAAAAAAAATTAATATATATTTTTTAAAAATATAAAGAATATGTATTATATTTAAAAAGTGTTATTTTTAAATGTATTATTCTTTGAAAAAGTATTTTTATTAAAAAATAATAAATATGTACTATTAGTAAATCAATTATATATATTATAGATTTTTAAAACAGATTTTTAAAAACAGATTTTTAAAAATAGATTATTAAAAACAGAATTAGTATAATATATATTATTTTATTTTAGTAAATATGTTAAAAACAGAATAACACATTTAATACATTATTTTTATACATTATTTTTATACGTTATTTTTACACATTCAATTATTAAAAACAGATTTTTAAAAATAATGAATATATATTATACTTTAAATATGTTATTGTTAATATAATATATTATTTTAGTGAATTTATATTATACTTTAAAAATAATGAATATATATTATACTTTATAAAATTATAGTGAATATATATTATACTTTAATGAATATATTATAATTTAAAAATAATGAATATATATTATACTTTAAAAATAATGAATATATATTATATTTTAAAAATAATGAATTTATATTATTTTAGTGAACATATTTTATTAAGTTGGTGTCGAAATAGAAAAAAAAGATTTAAATTACATATTTTATTAAAATGATATATAATGATAGTACAAATTTCTGCAGTATGGAATATTTTCGTTACTATCGTAGTTGGATGTACAATAGAACGTTACCAGGCAGACTTGGACTTACACCAAAATTTGAGGAAGGAGTTAAGGGGTTTATCACGTGGGCATTTGCACAAGAATGTTGTCGACGTGAGGGAGGAGTGAGATGTCCTTGTCTTAAATGTGAATGTAGACCTATAATTAGTGATCCAGATGAAGTAGAACGTCATTTGAAGAGGAAGGGTTTCATTAAAAATTATTGGGTTTGGACATATAATGGAGAACAACTGCCGAGTAATGTACATGCAGAGACAACTAATACACACGCATCAAGCAGTCGATCACATATGGAATTTGATGAATAATTTAATCTGATCGATGAAATTGTTGGAAATGCATTTGGAGTAAATGTGACATATGACGAACCTCAGGATTTTGATGGGGAAGAGTTTCCGAATCAGGAAGCACAAAGGTTTTACCAATTGTTGAAAGAAATGAATACACCGTTGTTTGAGAGGTCAGCAGATTCAAAATTATCAATGTGTGTGAGATTATTGGCCGCAAAGTCAAATTGGAATGTTCCTGATCAGTGTTTGGAATACTTTGCAAAAATGATGTTGGATGCGACTCCTACGAAAGACAACTTGCCTACAAGTTATTATGATGCAAAGAGGTTGGTATCGAAGTTGGGTTTAGAAGTACGAAAGATTGATTGTTGCATAAAAGGATGTATGTTGTTTTATGACAATGAGTTTGGTATTAATGATGAGGCGCTGGAGGAATGTAAGTTCTGTAAGAGTTCGAGATATTAAGTTCGTAGTAAAGCCATTAACCGTAAACAAAAACGTGTAGCAGTGAAGTCCATGTTTTATTTGCCGATAATACCAAGGTTAAAAAGATTGTTTGCTTCAATGCATAGTGCAAGTCAAATGACATGGCATCATACAAATAAAACATGTTCAGGCATTATGCAGCATCCATCTGACGGTGAGGCATGGAAACATTTTGATAGGGTACATTCTGATTTTGCTGCAGAACCTAGAAATGTCAGGCTCGGACTATGCTCTGATGGTTTTACTCCATACGTCCAAGCATCTGCAATTGCATATTCCTGTTGGCCAGTTATCGTAACCCCTTACAACCTCCCTCCAGAGATGTGCATGACAAAACCATACATGTTTTTGACTTGCCTCATTCCAGGACCGTCAAGTCCTAAATCTGGAATCGACGTTTATTTGCAACCTTTAATAGATGATTTGAAGAGGTTGTGGATTGGAGAATGGACCTATGATATATCTCGCAAACAAAACTTTACTTTGCGAGCTGCCTTGATGTAGACTATTAATGACTTTCCTGCTTATGGAATGTTATCTGGTGGGGTACGCATGGCAAAATGGGATGTCCACATTGCATGGAATTTACAAAGGCTTTTACTTTGGAATTTGGAGGGAAAAGTTCGTGGTTTGACTCTCACCGCAGATTCCTACCACGAGACCATGTATTTAGAAGAAACAAGTCTGATTTCAAAAAAGATGTACGAGTAAAAGATTTGCCTCCTCCGCGATTGTCACCAGAGGAGATATGGAATCGAGTTACTGAACTGCCAAAATTTACAGATTACGGTGAAGCATATAGAATTGAAGGATATGGGGTTAAACACAATTGGACAAAAAGAAGTATATTTTGGGACCTCCCATATTGGAAAGATAATTTATTGCGACATAATCTTGATGTTATGCATATTGAAAAGAATTTCTTCGATAATATATTTAACACAATGATGGATGTTCAAGGTAAAACAAAGGATAATGAGAAGGCTAGAAGGGACATGGAAATTTTATGTGATAGAAAAGAGTTGGAGTTGAAGCCTCGGCCTAATGGAAAATTATTAAAACCTAAGGCATGTTACAGTCTAACTTCCCAAGATGGTAAAGCGGTTTGTCAATGGTTAAATGAATTGAGAATGCCGGATGGTTATGCTTCAAATTTAGCAAGGTGTGCTGACACCAAAACTGGGAAGCTGCATGGAATGAAAAACCATGATTGTCATGTTTTCATGGAACGATTGCTTCCAATTGCGTTCAGTTCACTACCCAACCATGTGCTATATCCGCTAATTGAAATAAGTCAATTTTCAGAGATATTTGTGCGTCAACTTTAAGAGTCGATAGCATCATTAAGTTGGACCAAAATATTCTAGTTATTCTATGCAAGTTGGAACGCGTTTTTCCACCTGGTTTTTTCGATTCTATGGAGCATCTACCTGTGCATCTTGCATATGAAGCCTATCTTGGTGGCCCCGTGCAATACAGGTGGATGTATCCCTCTGAAAGATTCATGGGTGATTCAAAGCGACCAGTGAAAAATAAAGCTAAAGTTGAAGGATCAATATGTGCACATTATTTGCATCGGGAAACATCACATTTTTGCAGTCATTATTTCAATCATTTGATGCTAACTCCAAGAATCATAAGGAATGAATTTGATATTAACAAAAGAAGTCAGTTTACCTTGTCAATCTTCGGTCTTCCCGGTCGCCCCTCTGGAAAGGAGAATGTGCATTGGCTGACCCAAAAAGAACTGCAATCTGCACATGTTCATGTTCTTATTAACTGTATTGAAGTTAGGCCATATCTTGAGTAAGTATACCCCTAACATAACTACTTATCTGGCTTTACAAATTGAATTATTACATTCTAATTTTTAAATGTGTTTCTTTATAGGGCATTTAACGCCTCCTATTTTCAAAGCACCGATGAACAAGCAACTATCGGTCAAATACATGCATCTTTTCCAGCATGGTTCAAGGATCAATAGTCATGCATTGTAGCACCGACTCAAGAAATACTTCATTTGTGTAACTTATCTAGAGGGCCTGTTCAAAGAGCAATTGAATGGCACACATACTTTGTGAACGGCTATAAATTTCACACCCAGACGTGGACAGAAGGGAAAAAAACCATAAATAGTGGTGTATTTGTTAAAGGAGTTACAGATGGTGGTGAAGACGACTTCTATGGCGTTGTTACGCATATTTACGAGTTGGCATACAATTACTTGGACTCGGAAAATAGAGTTGTCTTGTTTTATTGTGATTGGTATGATCCATCTGCCAGGGGCACAAAAATAGATAAGAAATATAACACTGTTGATATTCGAATGGACAGAAGGTACAAAGAGTATGACCCTTTCATAATGGCACATATCGTTAAACAAGTTTATTATGTTCCGTACCCTTCAATTCAGTCACGTAAACGTGGGTGGTGTGTTGTAATCAAAACAAAACCATTGGGTCATATTGAAACTGACGGTCTAGTGGAAGATGCTGCTTACCAAGACCATGAAATTTCTCAAATTAATGATGTGGTTGAAGTTGAAGAAATTACAAATTTGTGTGATACATTGGTCGAGGGTCATCAAATTGATGCATCTGTTTTGTTGGTAGATAATAATGTGGATGAAGAGCATGCAGATAATAGATCTGAGGACATTATTGGATCAGATGATGAAAATAATATGGCTGAAGAACATGAAGAGTTTGAATAGATAGATTTTATATGTGTTCGGACAATTTTTATTAATGTATTGTTTTTTTATATGAATACAAATGTATTATTTACGTATTATTTATTTACCAAGAGCATGAAGAGTCTTGATTTATTTACGTATTATTTATTTATTGAAAACTATTTCAAAATAGATACAATGCCACCCCGAACTGACAAGGGTAAGGCTAAGGAGACCCAGCCTCGTTCGAGAGCCCGAGTACGTGAGGTACCGCCCTCGCCCATGTATGTTTCTCGCCCACAGTCTCAGGCAGATCTAATGTCCGTAGACACTTCACAGCCATTTACGACATTACTCTCCTCCTCCCAAACGGTTCCATTTGGGAATCCATCGTTTATTAGTCCGTTTGGGGGATCCTTCATGCATCCGCTTGGGGTACCATCTACGTTTACACAGCAGTCTGGGGGATCTAGTTTTCCTGGGGGAGCTAGTTTTCTTCCTCAGCAGTATTCCTTCACGCCGCAGCCTGGGGGATCTAGTTTTCCTCAGCAGACTCACTTCGCACAGCCTGGGGGATCTGTTTTTCCTCAGCAGTATTCCTTCACGCCGCATCCTTCAGGATCTAGTTTTCCTCAGCCGACACCCTCCACGCACCAGCCAGAGGGATCTGGTTCCCGCATTCCACACCCCACACATATACCTGCTCGTCAGCAGCAGGATGACCACAATGTTCAGGGGGATGACGATGTTCATGAGGAGCAGACAAATCCTGTTGCAGAGGAGCATTTGGTGGTTGAAGGACGACATCTGATTAGGCCTGAGGGATCTGGGTATGTTTTTAATTTATAATATTTATTTAGCTATATATTGTCATTTTATGTTTAATTCTCGTTCAAATTATTGTTGTTTAGTTTTGATCTGTGTCGTCCTGCTGCTAAAGCTGTAAACTGGGTCATTCAATTGATGTATACAAAACTCATTAAGTCTTTCGGAGAGCTCCCAGATACTGAGAAAGATATATGGTTTGATAAATTCAAGGTAAATTGTATTTTTATTATAGTTATGTTATTTTATAATGATTTTTTGTTATATATGTCTAACATTTTATTTGATTGTCATATAACTTGCAGGAAATGTGTACTTGGCAGAAATTTGACGAGTTCAAAATTAAAAAAAAAATAAAAAGTAAGGTATCTAGCAGATTATCTGACATGCTCAGGAATGCTAGACAACATTGGGAAAGAGATCAAACTCGTCCTAACTGGATAGGCGAGGAAATATTTGGTGAACTTGTTGAGTGGTGGAAGACAGAAGATTTTCAGAGAAGATCTGAACATGCTAAAAAGATGAGGGCATCTGAAGCAGGTGGCTGTCTTAGTACAGTTGGAAGTATCAGTATCGGCGAACATCGTCGACGAATGGTAATTATAACTATTTTTTAAGTTTTATTTTGTATTATTATTTATTTACTTAAGCTCCATTATTTTAAATAGAAAAAGGACTTGGGGAGGGAGCCACGAATTAATGAGCTATTTGTGAAGACCCGAACCAAAAAATCGGGAGACTTTGTTGACGGCCGTTCCAAATCAACCTTGGTAACTTGTTAATTATAGTTGAATTCTTTTAATTTCAAAATTACTATATAACTAAATTGTTTAAATTATATTTAATTTAATTTTTTTTAATGTGTGTGTAGGAGTTGTACCCGACCTTTCTTGCCCAATTTCTAATTGAAAATCCTCAATATACGCCGATTGGGGATGCACCGCTTGATCCACGCGTTGATCTTTATATTTGGAATTTAACAGTAGGCGGGAAGAGAGTCAATGGATGTTTTTTTGGTCTGGGGTCTTTGGCT